GATAAATCAGGAAGATTACTTACAAAGCAGTCTTTTGTGGTAGAAGTGATGGTTCTACCATACTTGTAACAAGGAGTAGAATTTACAGTTTTAGCTATATGAAGTTTGCACAAGACTAAATAATGATCTGAGATATCATCGCTTGGCTGCATAATTTCAACACCATCGACATCAATTCCATGTGACAGTATTAAATCTAGAGTATGATTTCGACAATGAGTAGGTCCTGACACGTGTTGTCTAACCCCAATAGAGTTCAGAATGTCTATGAATGCTGATCCCAATGCATCTTTTTCATTATCAACATGGATATTAAAATCACCAACAATTAAAACTTTATCGGACAATGTATCATAATGAAAGATTTATAAGCAATTTTTAAAAAGCTGCTGGTCATTTTTTTGACCAGGAACACCAAATAAGATGAAGGAGTTTCAGCACAGCACAAGGGTTGATTGACTATAATGTGAGTTTGTCCTAGTTTTTACTTCCCTTGGTTAGTTTCACCACACTCTCAGAAAAAAAGGTACAACAGCTGTCACTCGGGCGGTACCTTTTCAAAAGGTACACATATTATGTACCTTTAAGGTACCAATATGGACTCTTTAGGTACAAAGCTGTGCCTTTTGAAAAGATACCGCCCCAGTGACAACTTTTGTACCTTTTTTTTCTGAGAGTGCACTTCCATAGTTTTTATTATCTGTTTCATGAAAGTATATGTGATTGTTTTGCCCTTTCGGGTCACGCTGACTGATAGCTGTGTGCCCCTCACTTATAAAATGCCTGCTAACTTGTAAGACTAGTCTAAGCAGTTTATGCAAGTGGCCACAGGTTTAGTGAACTCATTTGTCTGTGTATATTGATTTCAAGGATCCAGGAGAGTTTTGGAAGGGCGAATAAAATGGGGAATCGACTGATACAAAAGCTGTTTTTGGGGGCGTCTGTGATTTGCATCATGGGTTTCTACTGTTTGACGACATCAACCCTCCTCGCCACACACAGGTAAGGAGTATATTTGTGTATATATCACTGTAAAAAAAAGCTTGTTACATTCAAATAAGCATGTGTTCTAATGTTTTTGCATTATTTTGGTGCCATGTGATACACTGTATCTAAAAATATCCCATTAAAAAGTTGCCAGAAATCCACTGTTAAAATACTGTGACAATGCTTACAGCATCAGAGGCCTGTATATTTCACATCTTGTGACAATGCATTCCATTAAATTATGTAAATTCTGAAATTATCTTAATACCAATCTACTTGATCTGCCAAACTGTGCTTTTTACCAACATGTTAAACATCAATTAAATAACCCGAAAATGTAACACAAAACACCCTAATGTACGTTACTGATCATGAAAATGAGGAAAAAATTTATTATTTAAATAAAATGTAATCGTCATGCAAAGACTTCTGGAAATGACCTTTTAGTGTTTTTTTTTAACATGGTAATTCATAGTTTTTAGCGCCGAAAACCATACATTTTACAGTTATTAACAATATTTCTACAGTAAAATTACATACAATTACATAAACCATTTACAGTTTTTCACCATATATGCTAACAATTAATTTCACTAATTAACAGTTTTTTTTACTATAATATTTAGAATTTTGTTCCCTGTAAAAATTGTAACATATTTTATTATAAATATATTATATATATTTACATTATACATTATACACACATTATATTAATATATATATGAAGTTTATTTGCAAAAACAGATAACTCTGTTTTTTTTTTTTTTTAATATTGTTTTGTCCTAGTTTTTACTTCCCTTGGTTAGTTTCACCACACTCTCAGAAAAAAAGGTACAACAGCTGTCACTGGGGTGGTACCTTTTCACAAGGTACACTTTTGTACCTTTTAGGCACTAATATGTACACATATTATGTACCTTTAAGGTACCGATATGGACTCTTTAGGTACAAAGCTGTGCCTTTTGAAAAGATACCGCCCCAGTGACAACTTTTGTACCTTTTTTTTCTGAGAGTGCACTTCCATAGTTTTTATTATCTGTTTCATGAAAGTATATGTGATTGTTTTGCCCTTTCGGGTCACGCTGACTGATAGCTGTGTGCCCCTCACTTATAAAATGCCTGCTAACTTGTAAGACTAGTCTAAGCAGTTTATGCAAGTGGCCACAGGTTTAGTGAACTCATTTGTCTGTGTATATTGATTTCAAGGATCCAGGAGAGTTTGGAAGGGCGAATAAAATGGGGAATCGACTGATACAAAAGCTGTTTTTGGGGGCGTCTGTGATTTGCATCATGGGTTTCTACTGTTTGACAACATCAACCCTCCACGCCACACACAGGTAAGGAGTATATTTGTGTATATATCACTGTAAAAAAAAGCTTGTTACATTCAAATAAGCATGTGTTCTAATGTTTTTGCATTATTTTGGTGCCATGTGATACACTGTATCTAAAAATATCCCATTAAAAAGTTGCCAGAAATCCACTGTTAAAATACTGTGACAATGCTTACAGCATCAGAGGCCTGTATATTTCACATCTTGTGACAATGCATTCCATTAAATTATGTAAATTCTGAAATTATCTTAATACCAATCTACTTGATCTGCCAAACTGTGCTTTTTACCAACATGTTAAACATCAATTAAATAACCCGAAAATGTAACACAAAACACCCTAATGTACGTTACTGATCATGAAAATGAGGAAAAATTTAATTATTTAAATAAAATGTAATCGTCATGCAAAGACTTCTGGAAATGACCTTTTAGTGTTTTTTTTTAACATGGTAATTCATAGTTTTTAGCGCCGAAAACCATACATTTTACAGTTATTAACAATATTTCAACAGTAAAATTACATACAATTACATAAACCATTTACAGTTTTTCACCATATATGCTAACAATTAATTTCACTAATTAACAGTTTTTTTTACTATAATATTTAGAATTTTGTTCCCTGTAAAAATTGTAACATATTTTATTATAAATATATTATATATATTTACATTATACATTATACACACATTATATTAATATATATATGAAGTTTATTTGCAAAAACAGATAACTCTGTTTTTTTTTTTTTTTAATAATGTTTTTTATGATGTTATCATGTTTTTTATTGTGTTTTATTGTGTTAGTTATCTGTATTTTTTTTTGTTATTTCTTAAGCTAATCAAAATAACCCAACTGCAGTTTGATTGAGATGAATTGGAATACACAATGAAAAAACATGATTTTTGAAAATTATCTAGTTATCTGTTTTTGCAAATGAATTCTTCATATATATATATATATATGTACAATGAGAATGCCTTTAATCGTAACCTAAATGTAACTTGAATGTAAGTCTGAAGTAAAATGGAATAAAATTTAAATGTAACTGCTTTATTTTCAAATAAAATTCATATATAAGTCTTTTTAATCTTCATGTTTTCATGCACAGAACATATTTGAGGCATTTCTATTAAAATAGCATATTAAAATTTGTATTTAATTGATATATTTCATTATATTCAATAAATTAAGTTTAAAGGACCATTTCCCATGCACACTCTTAAAAATGAAGATGCTTCAAGATGCCATAGAAGAACCTTTTTGTCTAAATGGTTCCATAAAGAACCTTTAACATCTGAAGAACCTTTCTGTTTCACAAAAGCTTCTTTGTGGTGAAAGAAGGTTCTTCAGATTATAAAAAGATAAGAAAGAGATGCTTCTTTAAAGAATCTTTGACTGAATGCTTCTTTGTGGAACCAAAAATGGTTCTTCTGTGGCATCGCTGTGAAGAAGCTTTTAAGCACCTTTATTTTTAAGAGTGCATGTACTTCGAAGTCTTCAAAATGGATCAAATCAACATACTGTAATCAAAACCTCAGTGATTGTGACAGTTTTGTGTTTATTTCTGTCTTTTCAGAGTTACTCTGGCCCCTTGTGCACCAAAAGTGCGTAACAATTCACAGCGAACTCTCAAAGCAGACGCGACCTGCACGCCTAAAGTCAACCTGATGTTCATGAAGACCCACAAGACGGCCAGCAGCACTTTGATGAACGTTCTCCTGCGCTTCGGAGAAAAGCACCAGCTGAGGTTCGCTCTCCCAGACGGCCGTAACGACTTCTTCTACCCATCGAGCTTCTTCCGAACCCAAGTGAAGAGTTACCAGCCGGGCCTGTGCTATAACATCGTGTGCAACCACATGCGATTCAATGCACCCGAAGTGGAGAAGCTGCTCCCGGCGGATGCCTTCTTCTTCACCATCCTACGAGATCCCGCACAGCTTTCTGAGTCTTCCTTCCACTACTACAAAGCCTACGTGCCTCAAACGTGGAGAATCCCTGGAGGAAACCAATTGGAGGAGTTTCTCAATGATCCAAGCCGCTACTTCAACCCACAGGGAATCAACGCTTTCTACCTCAAGAATCTACAGTTTTTCGACTTCGGCTTCGAGAATAATTTGGAAGCTGATGACGTGAGAGTCCAAGAAAGCATCGAGTTCATCGAAAAGCGCTTTCAGTTGGTTTTAATTTCGGACCACTTCGAGGAATCGCTCATTCTGCTGAAAGACGCTCTGTGCTGGCAGATGGACGACTTGCTGTTTTTTAAACTCAATGCTAGAAATGTCACGTCTGTGTCTCCCATGAGCCCTGAACTGAGGACTCGAGCTCGGGAATGGAACGGAGCCGACTGGCGACTTTATCGGCATTTTAACGCCACTTTCTGGGCGCTCGTGGAGAACTACGGCCGGAGCCGAATGGAGGAGCAGGTGAGGGAGCTGCGCAGGAGAAACGCAGAGATGGAGGCCATCTGCATTGACGGCGGAGGAGCCGTGGAGGCGGGGGACATCACAGATGGACACATGAAGCCCTGGCAGCCCATCGGAAAAGCTTCCATACTAGGATACAACCTGAGGAGTGACATCGAGCGACAGTATGAGGAGCTCTGCAGGAAGATGCTGACCCCCGAGATCCAGTATCTGACTGATTTAGGAGTCAATCTATGGGTCACTAGGTTATGGGGCTGGTTTAAGGATAGTGTTGTTCAGTTTGGGTTGAGTTAGTGTAATTGCTTCATATATGTTGGCAGTGTTCACTTGTTGGACTTACATTAACATTACACTCTTAAAAATACAAGTGCTTAAAAGGTTCTTCACAGCGATGCCACAGAAGAAGCATTCAGTCAAAGGTTCTTTAAAGAACCATCTCTTTCTTACCTTTTTATAATCTGAAGAACCTTCTTTTGCGACAAAGTATCTTTTGTGAGACGGAAAGGTTCTTCAGATGTTAAAGGTTCTTAATGGAACCATTCAGACAAAAAAAAGTTATTCTATGGCATCGTGAAGCACCTTTATTTTTAAGAGTGTAACTCGAGGTTGTCTCGAGGGGGGGGGCTTACTTTCAAAAGAAAATGTAAAAAATGTATAAATAATAAAAAGTAAGATTAAAATAAATAATACCAGCTGGTAATGAAATAAGCATTTTTTTATTTAAAAAATAATTTTAAAGTATACAAACAAACAAATAATGATTCAAATAAATAATAAAAAAAAAAGATCCTTATGTACATTACTGATAACAAAAATGAGAAGAAATTTAATTTCTTAAAAATAAAATGTAATCACATATCCAGGGTTGCTAGATCGGCAACAGTGTAAAAGTAACCCGTTTACCGTTTTAACTTAAATTTACAGTTAAATACCGTAATTTTATTAACTGATATAATGTTAATATACCAACCTATTGAAGCACTGAAATCTGTTTTGTAGCTTTGTAATACACTGATAACCACCAAAAGCAGGTGCTGATGAGAAAGTCACACGATGAACCAAAACCCATCACGCTTTTAAATACTAACATATATAGAAGTGCACAGAGTCATTCACACAAACACTAAACACCATCACGGTAACACACATGAAACTGAAATAATGCAATAAACATGCATTTAACAACATTAGGTGTAACACACAACCCTAATGTACACAACTGATAAGAAAAAACTAAGAAGAAACATAGTTATTTCAACAAAAAAACATCAAATTTGAAATGTAACGCATGGAATTCTGGGAATGTCTATTTACGGTTATTCACTGTAAATGATACATTCTTTTCCACTTCCAAAAACGGTATACTGCCATAAAATTAATGTCCAACACAGTTTTTCACCGTATACAGTAGAGGAACTTACCGTTAACCATTTAACAGGTTTTTATTCTAGCATTTTTACAGTTTTTACAGTGTATAGTTACATAAATCAAAATGTAATTAAATAGTAAATAAATAAAATAAATAAATGTAAAAATAGTAAATCATTAAAATAAATAGGCTAAGTAAATACATAACACATTATAACAGTACTACAGTGCTATAACGAATATAAAATAAACTAATATTTTTGACATTTATAACAGTAGCTTTTCACAGTATTAATTGAATATTTATTTAAGAAACAATACAGATTTTTTTAAGGATATGGTCCCTCGGTCCCTCACAGAAGGTTGATTTGGGGGTCTATATCATCTAAAAGATTGTAAAACCCTGGTATAATGAACCACATAGGGCCCCTGAGCCTAAAGAGGGCCCTGGGTTGTATTTTAATTATTATTGTTATTTTTAGCATTATTAAATGTTTCAATTATCAATATACTAAGTTGTGAGTAAGACTCAGACTCTCAAGACTCAGGCCACTGTTATGGCTCAATTATGCGCCATAATGTGGGATATTTGTAGCAATAGCCAACAATACATTGTATGGGTCACAATTATACATTTCTCTTTTATGCCAAAAATCATTAGGATGTTCCAATGAAGATATTTAGTAAATCTCCTACCGTAAATATATCAAAACTAAACTTGCTAAAAACTTCAATAGCGATTTTCTCAATGTTTTTTGTTTTTGTTTTTTGGGCACCCTCAGATTCCAGATTTTCAAATAGTTGTATCTCAGCCAAATATTGTCCGATCCTAACAAATGTAGCTTTTTTATTAAGCTTATCCATTCAGCTTTCAGATGATGTATACATCTCAATTTAAAAAATATACCCTTATGACTGGTTTTGTGCTCCAGGGCCACAATTAGACTGTCATAGGGCGCCCCCTGTTGGCCGGAGATGGAAGCGAGACTATACTGTAACTGCAAGGAGAGAGTTATTGCTATAGTCTTTGGTTTTAGTTAGAAAAGGGAACACTTCATTTCGATTGACTAAATGCACTATATGTGTTATTTTTTCATTATATTAAAATGTTATTGCTTTCTAGTACAGCGCAGTTTCACATTATTGCTGCACAGTGTTGCAATAGTGATGTTGGCTTATTCAATCCACGCACAGAAGTGCTTCGTTAGAAGCCTCAAGTAAGTATTAAGGATGTTATTCAATTTACCTTTAATTTCAACTGTGTGTAGGCTATTTGCTTTCGCTCTAATCTATGTACTGTGATAATAAACTACTGACAAAAATTAAATCTGTCGTCTAAAACGTAAGCGTAAAGAAAAATATGACACGCTGGCTTTTAAAAATTCACAGTAAAATAAATTGAACGTTTTATTAAAAACTGTTCAATCTGTCAACTTCAAAATTACGAACTTTTCAGGCGTCCGCCAATCAACTTCAAGCACAAGTCCATTGCTGGGCTCTCATTGGATAGCACGGCGTCTCCAACGGCAAATGGGCGGGGCTTAATAGACAGTACATTTTCAGTTAGGGTGTGTCTGAAATATAATATTTTAACTCTTCACCGTCTGTTTATAAATAACATCTATTAAAGTGAATCTAAATATCATTATTTAGATGTAAATACACTGCTGTTGAATAAACGGCGATGGTTAAGACTGACCAATCACGTGCGTTTGCACGATAAAGATTTTTAAACAATATTTTATAGAATTTACACAAGCTGATTTCATGTTTAATCCCATGTATAAATAATCTGAAGGCGTAGATTTAAAAGATTATACTTACGAGAGTTAAAAAGTCCTCAACAATATTCACAAAACACCACCAGGCGCCCACACCGAGATCCTTTGCGTCTTATCGGACAGCATAAGATATGGCAAGCCGTAATATCATTTAATCCTTAAAACGTACTAGTATTTATTTTCAATGCTACTAGTATTTATTTTGTTAGCTGTATCTACTACCGTAGTACACTAGTACACTAGCTGAACACTAGTACTTATTCATTAGCTACTAGTGCTTATTTTTAGCTATAGTACTTATTCTACTATTCTAAGCACAGGTACACGATGAATACTTACTATTTAAAAAGATACTACTCACTATTGGAATATCTAGTCAGAACTGAATAATTGATATCTGAACGACTGATCTCCATAGACGTCAAGGGCAAACATTTGAAATTAGTAACTAGTCACTATTAAACATGTACTAGGATTTAGTAAGTACTAGTATCTAATTAATAGGTACTAGTATCTAATGAATAAGTGCTAGTATCTGTTTAATAGGTACTAGTATCTAATGAATAAGTGCTAGTATCTGTTTAATACTAGTACTTACTAGTACATGTATGTGTGTGTGGCTGTACATACACATGTAAGTTAGTTGTTTTTTAGTGTTATGTTATAATCATTATTATACTCATACCTTTTGTTCTTTTAATATTTGGAATTGTTTTAGCTTTATTTTTTTGTTTTCATTTAAATGTTTAGTTTTGAAATGTTGTTGTATGCGTTTGTCATTTTTATTTAATTTATTTAATTTTCTTAAATGTGTATATATATATAGTATTTATAGAGTTTTAGCTTTTAGTTTTAATAGCTTTTTCTTATTTGTAAGTCGCTTTGGATAAAAGCGTCTGCTAAATGACTAAAAGTAAAGTAAAGTAATAAATAACTACTAGTATATAAAAAAACATATGTACTAGTCACAATTGTAATACACTTGTCAGATAAGTATAGTATCTAATGAATAAGTAGTATCTATTTAATAAGTATAGTATCTAACGAATAAGTAGTATCTATTTAATAAGTATAGTATCTAATGAATAAGTAGTATCTATTTAATAAGTATAGTATCTAATGAATAACAAAAAAACATATGTACTAGTCACAATTGTAATACACTTGTCAGATCCACATAGAAATCAACTGCAAATTTTTTTAATGTATTGCTAGTAACAACAGAATAATTACTAGTCACTATTGAAATAAGTACTAGTATCTATTTAATAGGCACTAGTATCTAATGAATAAGTAGTATCTATTTAATAAGTATAGTATCTAATGAATAAGTAGTATCTATTTAATAAGTATAGTATCTAATGAATAAGTACTAGTAACTATTTCATAGTTAATAAATTAACTATGACGAGACGAGTTTAGCTGTATACGTAAAACATTTGTATTGTATCTGCGTTTCATCCAAACGGATCCAGAGTTTTTGGAGCCTGAAACCGCTATTTTTAGAAATCGGGTTCAGCCAATCCGTATATATTGTGAAACGATGATATCATCACCCCACGTCTCGACTCTAGTCACACACGGCTACGTCACGCAACAGCAACAACAACAATGGCGGACTACATGCTTGTGTTCGTGCTGCAGAAGCTACTGAGCCTATTAGCTTTACTAACTCCACAAGCTATTTTTGTTGTTGTGTTGGGTAGGGATGCACGATATTGGATTTTGCCGATATGCCGATATTTTTCAACTCATTTTGGCTGATAGCCGATGCCGATATATTACCTTTTGTTCGGAAACAACACCAAAGGGCCTTTCGCACCGCAGGAACCTTTTCGTAGTACCAGAACTAATTGTGGAACTACTCACTTTTCGGCGTGTTCACACCGCTGGAACTGGGAGCGATTTTAGTACCGGACTGCCTTTTTCGAGAACCAAATTAGCTCCTACTCCGGAGCAGGGTTTAACCAGCACAACTGGTACTAATCGTGACGTAAGTAGACATTGATTGGCCAAATGCGTACGAAAACGCCCTCACCCGCCATGATTTAAAACTCCGTGTAAACATACTGTAAGCATGTCAACTTATTTCGCAAGTATGGAGAACAGCGATAGATGGACGGACGCTGAAGTGCAGGCGCTTGTAGCAAATGTAGCACTGCCGGTTGTCGTTGGAGATTCTTAGTCCTCCTTTCCGTTCTTTCAATCGCTTTACGTATACGTCGACTTTCCATGTCCACTGTGAAACCCGCGAGACACA